ACACCAAGCGGTCACCGGTGACCGCGACCTATTGTTCTTTAATTGTGTCTATAAAACCGGTACTCGACGAGTTAAAAGACCCACGCCATCTATCGCTAAGTAGCGTAACTAATACATAGATAGCAATTACTAATTCGTTGACTTATAAAACAGAAAATAAATGAGTCGAGAAGTGCACCGAATAGGTACCTTTAACAACCTAAAATGTATAAAATACATAATTTAATGTAAAATGGTAGAAAACAAAATTTATAAGCGAAAAATACACGAAAAACAAAACGTTACCAAGTATTTAAAAGACCCGCGCCATCTATCGCTAAGTAGCGTAACAAATACATAGATAGCAATTACTAATTCGTTGACTTATAAAACAGAAAATAAATGAGTCGAGAAGTGCACCGAATAGGTACCTTTAACAACCTAAAATCTATAAAATACACAATTTAATGTAAAATGGTAGGAAACAAAATTTATAAGCGAAAAATACATGAAAAACACAACGTTACCAACCAAGTTTTTAAAAGACCCACGCCATCTATCGCAAAGTAGCGAAACTAATACATAGATTCCAGTTAGTAATTAGTTGACTTATAAAACAGCAAATAAATGAGTCGAAAAGTGTACCGAATAGGTACCTGTAACAACCTAAAATCTATAAAATACACAATTTAATGTAAAATGGTAGGAAACAAAATTTATAAGCGAAAAATACATGAAAAACACAACGTTACCAAGTTTTTAAAAGACCCACGCCATCTATCGCTAAGTAGCGAAACTAATACATAGATTTCAATTAGTAATTCGTTGACTTATAAAACAGCAAATAAATGAGTCGAAAAGTGTACCGAATGTACCTCTAACTACCTAAAATCTATAAAATACACAATTTAATGTAAAATAATAAAATAATAATAGCAAAACTAATACATAGATTTCAATTAGTAATTCGTTGACTTATAACCATTTGGTTTCCAACCATTTTACATTAAATTATGTATTTTATAGATTTTAGGTTGTTAAAGGTACCTATTCGGTACACTTTTCGACTCATTTATTTGCTGTTTTTTAAGTCAACGAATTACTAATTAAATCTATGCAAAAGTTTCGCTACTTGGCGATAGATGGCGTGGGTCTTTTATTAACTTGGTGACGTTATGTTTTTCATGTATTTTTGGCTTATAAATTTTGTCCTACTATTTTACATTAAATATTGTATTTTATAGATTTAACGTTGTTAAAGGTACCTTACCTATTCGGTGCACTTTTCGACTCATTTATTTGCTGTTTTATAAGCCAACGAATTACTAATTGGTATCTATGTATTAGTTTCGCTACTTAGCGATAGATGGCGTTGGTCTTACTAATACGTGGTAACGTTGGTTTTTCATGTATTTTTCGCTTATAAATTATGTTTCCTACCATTTTATATTAAATTGTATATTTTATAGATTTTAGGTTGTTAAAGGTACCTAATCGGTGCACTTTTCGACTCATTTATTTGCTGTTTTATAAGTCAACGAATTACTAATTGAAATCTATGTATTAGTTTCGCTACTTAGCGATAGATGACGTGGGTCTTTTTAAAAACTTGGTAACGTTGGTTTTTCATGTATTTTTCGCTTATAAATTTTGTTTTCTACCATTTTACATTAAATTGTGTTTTTTATAGAATTTAGGTTTTTAAAGGTACCCATTCGATACACTTATCGACCCATTTATTTGCTGTTTTATAAGTCAACGAATTACTAATTGAAATCTATGTATTTATCCATCGGGAATATCATTTTTTTCGGGATAAAACCTACTCTATTATATAATCCGGACTTCTAACTTACATCATTTCGTAAATTTTCAGATGAAATTAGACTTTATGATAATATACCATGAAGTTTATTACAGTTTGACAGATCACGATCACCCATTTATTATTAATACGGGGTGAGCTTAGGTACTGCCTTACTTATACCGGGGCCGGTTCCAGACGTACCTACCTTCTCATCCGCCTTAAATAGGTTGCTTATGGCTCCATAGTAGACCGCATCATCGCTTACCACCAGGCGAGATAGTGGTCAAACGTCGCCCCATCCAATATAAATAAAATGACCAATAGGTATTTACTAGCTTTTATTAAACGATTTCAAAAAAAGAATGAGGTTCTCAGTTTGCCCTGTTTGTATGTATGTATCTTATATATGCGGTTATCAAAAAAAAAAATATTACACAAGTTATCAAGGAAAGGCTTTAGTATTTAAAAAGAGGGATTGGCGTCGGTTTTTGTAAACGTGGCATATGAAAGAATTATTCATCTTAAAAACATTAATAATGAACAATCTAATGTTAGTTGTCTAACTTGTACATATCTAGGTACATACATAATATATCTATCTAATACATAAGTATGTATATTTATTTACTAGGACACACCGCGGGTCGTATATTCTAGACTTCTAGTAGAGTATTCCATACGTCGTCACGCGACTTTAAACTCGCACTTGTGAGTCACGGATCACGTTTTTCGACGAACTATCACGTGTCGCTCATTAGTTGGGTTGCGGGGTAGCGGTTTTAGTAACGTGGTGAGCGGATTGAGTTTATCAGCGTTTATTGTTTAAAATTATATTTTATACTATTATATAAAGCGGAAGTTTGTTTTTTGTTTGAACGCGCTAATCTCCGTAACCACAAGTCTGATTTGAAAAATTATTTTTGTTGGATAGCGCATTTATCGAGGATGGCTATAGCCTATAAAACATCACTCTACGACCAATAGGAGCTGAGCAGAGCGTGTGAAACCGCGCGGAAGTAGCTAGTTTCTAATAAATATTGTGTTCGGAAACCTCGATGACGTCGACGGAGGCGGCACTAGCGATAGCATCAGAGGTGGGGACAGCGCTGCGCGGGGAGCAACATATGCGATCGCCTATAATATTAATAGGGGGTGCATATAATAGGGGATGAGCCTATTGCCATATACTGGGCACAATTCCAGACTCCGTGCTACTACTGAGATTTTTTTAAAACCCATTAGTACTTTGCCCGACCCGGGAATCGAACCCTTATCCAGCAGTCGCACTTGCGACTACTCGGCCAACAAAGCAGTCACGTCAGTCGGTGTTAAGCACAGAACATATTATATGTTCTGTGGTGTTAAGTACCTATCACTATATTTTTTTTTGTTTGTCTTTGTCTAACAATAAAACATTGCTACCATCCGTGCGTCACTGCAGGGGTACCAACTGAAAATCAGTGCTAGGTAACTTGTATGCCTGGTCATGGGCGCATAGGGTGGGGAATCTAGGCGCCCACCTAATGACCTCAAGGATGACGGCGGCACAGTGGTCACGTGCCGCGTGCAGTGCACAGAGAGGCTCTTGGAGAGACACATAGGTCTCCATAGGGAGGTGCCGTAACAGACGTTGCACTGTGGGGGCTCCGGAGTTGGTCTACTAAGAGGACCTGGTGCCTCCTTCAAGTACGGATGGTGGCCACCGGGGAGGTTTAAGTGAGGTAAAAATCCCACACTCCCTAGTCTTTTTCCCTATAAAACTAGGCGCATTTGGAAGGTCCCCCCCCCCCGTCAAAAAAAAAAGGTAACTTGTATGCCTGGCTTATACTGAGTAGGTAACCATTTAGCATAGCCATGTTGTTAGCGTCTCTTTCTTTTCTGATTCTTCTGTTTTAATTTTTTTTTAACTTTAAGTTTTTCTTACTTCCGCTGTTACACCTTTTATTGTCTTTTTTATTTTACTTATACTGCGTCGTGCCTGGTGCTGTATAAATGTTTTTTCTTTCTCTTTCTTTTCACTTTAACAATACGAGATAGTGACTGATTTATGTCGCGTCTTCCAAATTCCTGCCTGCCTAGTCATCAGCCGTATGTACCTAATAATTGTCCACTGATGAATATATTCGGGCCCCACATACATGTCTCAGATCATCAGTCTTCACCTGATGATGATTGTGATCATCAGCGATGCCCATAAAGACCTGTAGCAGGCTACTATAATTTACAGGTAACTTATAGGTAAGATGGGTTACAACTTACCAATACATAGAATTGGTACTGAAAATAAAAAATTAAATCCAATTTACATAAATAAGTAGTCATTTAAATTAAATCGCCCCGCTATCGCTCATTCCTTGAATGCACCCTTAGAGACTTTGACAGGGCATTGACCTTGTCGATACGTCCCGATTTTTATTTTTGTAAATGTTATGCCCCGGTTATCTAATGTAAACTGTGTAGTATTATTATAATTAAGGAACTGGTTTCGTAAGGACAGTAATTAGATAAGTAAATAGAATAGTTGTACTTAATAAAAGAAAAACATGCAACAAAAATACTATAGTTTTGTTTATTTGTATATTCTATAAAGGGATTTTTTAAAGAAAAAAGCCAGTTTAGCATGCGGCGAAGTATTTTCTAGATTATCCAGAAAACTAATAAATGCTTATGATGCCAGGAAGATTGCAATTATTTTAGAAATTATTGCAAGCGTGAAGATTAGATTTGATTATAGCGCCATCTCGTTACTCATTTAAAAATCTTATTTCTTTGTGAAGCACGAATTTCAACTACTAATACGTCTTATAAATCTATAAAATTGTATTACAAAGCGAGAAAAACGTTTTCTTTACTTTATTTATTAGTGCAATGGCTATAAAAGTAATGAGTGTAGAATGTTCTTCGTTTTTCTTTGTACTCTGGTGACGTATGACGATAAAAGATGGCATTAGCGTCTCAGCTTCAGTCGAAGCACGGCAGCGTTTGTGGAAAACGTCAAGTTTAATTCATGTTTTTTTTCTCTGTCACTCCCGCAATTATTCGTTAGTGCAAAAGTGATAGGTGCGCTGCATAATGACGGAATCCAAAGAAACGTCGGGAATTATAACCACTTTGTTTTAATTTAAATGTGTAAACATTGCATTTATATTCATTTTCACGTGTGCCTGTGATATATAAAATTGGACATAATAAATTGGATATTTGTGCAGTGACGATGGATCTTCTAGGGCTTCCCGTTGTTATGATCGAAAACATTTTCTCGTATTTATCCTACGATGAGATCGCGAAGAATAGATTGGTAAGTGATTATTCAAGGAATTTATTAATAGAAATGAGCTTGTTTAGTTAGAAAATCTTCTATAGTGTATTACAGTCATTAATTTTAGTTCTTTCAACACGTAACTGCTCAAAAGTGGCAATGTTCTAGGCGTTTCACTTACAACACTATATCGTACAAGTAGTTATGTATTACGTCTATTTATATCTGTTTGCTAATGAAAATTCTCTACACTCGTGTATGATCTCGTAACCGATATTATTAATGTATTAAAATTACTTAGTTCGATGTTTAAATTAACATCTAACGCCTGTTGTGTTTGTTTTATTTGCTAGTTACTTAGTTCTTGCAAAATATTTACATAGTTGGGAGTCGAACAAAAATATTGCAATATTACTGTATTTTACGACATGTATTAATATTTGGTTTTCAGTTTATCTATACGTAATTAGGGACTTGTTTCATAATGTTATACAATATAGAAACTCTTTTGATAAATTAAAACACTAATTTAAAGTAATGTAAGGGACAAATAAGGGTATTAAGTATCATTTTATATTTTTCTAAGAATTATTTCTTGATAATCATCCCCATAAACTTAGAATATACATTAGGTTCCTTAAAAAGACATTTAAATATTTACTTAACTCAATTTGTAAATTCTTCTAACAGAAATTAATTTAATATTATAAATATATAGTTATTAATAATATTGAACCTGTTATTCTACAATAGCGAGGCTTAAGGAAGACACATATCTCCCTAGGGATTTGCCGTAACAGGTATTACACCGGACTCTGTCTAATATAACGGACTTGGCCCATATAAGTGATAATGGTGGCCACCCACCCTGGTTTTAGTGAGCTAGAAATCCCACACTCTTTAGATTTTCTATCTGGGGCCTTTAGCCAAACGCTACTTCAGCGCTTGTCTACAGTGAGAGTAGAAATCCAAATATATGGGGATGACACTGACAAGTGTAAAAATTTACATCAATTCCATATAATTTGGTTTTCTATTCTACAAGTAGACAAGCGCTAAATGGCATTTGGCTATAGCTGCAGAAAAGGTAGGCCCCTTTTGAAGGATTCCCCACATTATCAATAAAGGTATTATTTAACCCGTTAAAAATCATCCCCTAAATTTGTTCATACAAAAGTAGTCTCTAAACATTGGAAATAAGGTGTATAATGTATAGTCGGAATTTTAATTAGATTCCAGATTTGACAATAGCTACTGTCATTTTGTGAAATAATGATACCACATATAATAGTGTAATGATGCACACAAAAATCGATAAACAATCAGTGTGTGTGTTTTATAATAAATGTTACAGAAAGTGACAGGATAGCAATAGCGATGACGGCGACAATTTATAAAAATAACTTATTACCATAATACATCTATCTGTTTTATTTGTCATGTTCCTTCATGATTACATTTTTTTATTTATTTCACACAATTATAAAAGAAAAGTCTCAGATCGTTAATTAATCGTCAAAACTGAATTATCGGTTCAGAAATATTTAATTTCCTGATATACTTAGTTTATGAGAGTAAAATTATAAACGAGAAAAATCGATCCAGAAATATTGCATTTCCATATCGAATAATTTCGCAACGTCACTATTTAGTATTTGTCATAACGTTGCAACACTGAAATTGTCAAATCTGGAATCGAATTAAAATTCCGAGTATAGTTAGTGGAGAGCGGTCACCGGTTACTGCTTGGGGATATGTACAAAGTTCTTCCTTTGTCCATAATGTAGTTGTTTACTTGTTTTATGTCATGTAATCAATATGTAACTATGCTAATTATGCAGTTTATTACTATATCTATGTATGTCTATGTGTTGCCTACATGAAGGTGTAGGTAGCATGCATAAGATATCATTTACATAGACACAAGTAAGTATGTATCTAAAAAGTATTATTATATTTCATGTTGAGACTTGAAAATTTTATATGTTATTGTTGTGATAACTCTTTCTAAAAATGTAAAAATTTAGGAAAACAATACATTGTAAACTTTGAAAAAAAAAACACTATTTTCACTATGATATTTTTAATTTATTAGCTGTGAATACTAAACTTAATTTTATAGACACTTTTAAACAATATGTTAAACAGTTATTTTGATAGCAATATGCTAATCAGTATAATTCCACTTATTCTAAGATCAAGACTGCCTCGTTGGCCGTGTGGTCGCAATTGCGACTGCCGGTCTCGGTTTCGATTCCTGAGACGGCCAAAATACTACTTACTGGGTTTTAATAAAATTCTCAGTAGTAACTCGGAGTCTGCAATTGTGCCCGTATATGGCAATAGGCTCACCCCCTATGGGACATACACATGGGACTCTATATAACTACTAACATAAATAGTGAAAAGTGGGTGTTACATTGTACAGTGGTTATAATGTGCACCTCTGCCTACCCCTTCGGGAATAAAAGGCGTGATGTTATGTTATGTCTAAGATCAACATTAAAAAAACAATCCATATTTTGTGGAATCAACCAAAATCTTTACTCTTCAGTAAGTACAAAACCATATGAATAACATCCATTTTGTTCCTTAAAAAATAATAACATTAATATACCTTTAAATTCAATAATGAATGCAATTATGAGACCCATCAAGTCCCATGTAACTCCACACTCTGCACTTTAACTCGTTGAGTACCGTATTTATAGACACAATTAAAGAACAATAGGTCACGGTCACCGGTCACCGCTTGGTGTTTGACAGTTTAAGTGAGAGATTTCCAAAAATTAAAAAAATGTTACATGTTACCCTTGTTCTTTTGTTGCAAAAAGTTAAATAAATAAATAAATAAACTTTACTGAAATAGGTACACAGACGGGTACACAGTAACACATCAAGCTATTAAAAACCAATATAAACTGACCCTTAGATATGCGGAAAGATCATAGAAAGCGAGACCATGATATATTGGTTTTAAATAGCTCATATTTATTTAAAAATATATTCACTTATCAGTTTTGGCTTACCATCAATTCTTGTCACTGAAAAAAAAACTATTGTTTCAAATTATGCTATCATGTGGTTTGTGCAATGCTTAGCTAATTCCAATAAAAATAGAGCAAGTAAAAATATTTTAGTCAACAGAAATGTTGTGTGTTTGATTTTCAACCTTATTGCATTGGATATAAGATTCAAAATAGTTAATAGTTTTGATTGCCTATAAATTCTGAACAAATGTTTGTCTTTATGACTTTTTTTATATTTGATGGGTCGACGTTTAACCACTATCTCCCCTGGTTGTAAGCGATGATGCGGTCTACGATGGAGCACGTCGTCCCATAAGGAACCTATTCATTTGGGCCTTGAACACACTCAGGTTATTTTATACCCTTCAGTAAACACAGACAAGTTCAAACTTGTAAAAAAATATAAATATAAAACACAATGTTTAGAAAGCTTAATTTTTTTATGGAATAAGCCGGTAAAAGAGCCGACGGATCACCTGATGGTAAGCCATCGGTATCGCCCATGGACACCTGAAACACCAGAGGTGTTACAAGTGCATTACTGGAACCACGACAGTTGTCATATCCCTGAGACGCGCTGGAAGTCAATGTTCCGGTGTTTTCATGGTTGTATCTACTGCAGATCCTGGCTTACAGGAGTTGCAGCGGGAAGCTGGGAGGTTGTGGCGGGTTGTCCCATTAAAAAACAAAAACAAGTGCATTAGAGGCCTTTTGGAGATTAGGGAAATTAACTTTAACATTTTCTACTTCTAAATTATTTTGTCTATCAATTTCAGGTGTCCAGAGCATTCAATGAGATCAGCATGCGGATGCTGAACCGCGGCTTCATGATGATTGAAAGACGCCACGCCATGGCCCTCAAGAATGTAAAGGCACAGCTTCCTAGGAGGGAGTCGGAGAGAAGGTACCTACATTGTTATCTATATTTGTACCGAATTATATCAAAATCCGTTCAGCAGTTTCGAAGTTAAAACGGAAAACGTATCAGGCAATATAATAATTGTAGCATTTTAGCATTGACCGCCTTGATGATCTCAATTCCTTAGTTGCGTAAACTGTTTTTGAACATTGAGCATTTTAAAATTTTTAGTACCTCTACCTAGTAGCACCAAGTCGAATTAATGTATCCAGTGTTGGTCAATTTAAGTGCGGGAGAGCTATGCTTCGGCATGAATGGGCCGGCTCAACTGGAGTGATCCACCCACCACGGCCTCACAGAAGACCGACGTGAAACAACATTTGCGTTGTGTTTCGTCGTGTGAATGAGGTTGCCGGAGGCCTAAGTACCCCTCCCCCCTTGCCCAATCCCTGAATCCCCAACAATCCTCAAATTCCTAATCCCAAAAGGCCGGTAAAGCACCTGTAACACCTCTGGTGTTCAAGGTGTCCATGGGCGACGCCGATTGCTTACCATCAAGTGATCCGTCAGCTCGTTTACCGGCTTATACCATAAAATAAATAATATGACACAGAATCCCTCCATTATATGAAATTTCTTACATAACTGCTGAAAAGTGGGTACTAGATTAATATAAACACCTTAATCTAACTATTTAGAGCCTGAAAGACGTGGTTTTGATTTGTTTTGTTTGATATATTCCAGATATCACCACTTATCCCGCCACTGTGACATCCTGACGTCCATAGAGACGCGCATCTCTATGCTCAACATGACATACTCCAAGTTCATAGACAACGGACTCTGCTGCTTCATTCCTGGCAAGGTAAATTTGTACATTATAATTTATCTCTTAATTTAATAAATTCTATTCAGATATATCTGTACCTGGCTGCCTGCCTGGTGCTTGCTGACTGCCTCGTTGGCCGAGAGGTCGCAAATGCGAATGCGTAAGGGGTCTCGGGTTTGATTCCCGGGCCGGGCAAAGTATTACTGGGTTTAAAAAAAACCCAGTAGTCTGTAATTGTGCCCAGTATATGGCAATACACTCACCTATTACATGGGAATCATAACATAAATAGTGAAAAGTGGGTGTTACATTGGCATTAAGGGCCGTAATGTGCACCTCTGTCTACCTCTTCGGGGATAAAACGCGTGAACATCGAAATAAATCAAACTTTTTCGTTATCTGATTAAAATTGGATAATATTATGAATATGAGCAACTAGGACTGGTAAGATCCAGACTGTATTATTTATTGTCCTTATAGTTATTTTCTTTTTCGATCTCTTTGACTGGATTTTGGTGTTACATTGTTTTCACATAATCAAACCAACAAAACTATGTAACTAGAGAATTGTATTGTAAACCTGATTAAAAGAGAGTAACTTATGGAGTTTCTTGCTCATTCTTCTCCATAGGAATCTACATCTTGGAATGCAAATAGCTTCACTTTTAAACTTATTTGTTGCCGTTCAAAAGTACCTTCCTAGTCTACTTAAAATAAATGATTTTGACTTTGACTTTATGATTTTTTTTCATATCCTACCTAAGCTCTAATATATAGTTTTGCAATAGAATCAATAGAATCTAGGGCTGCACAACGAATAAATGATGTTGTTTTCATTGAAGCGGCACTGAGATTTCGACCATAGTGATTGGTCAATTCGTGCACCGCTAAGCTCCTCTCCGCCCCGCGTCTTAGGAAACGCAGCCTATAAATAACTGCAAACGTGCTTTTTCCACCTTAGTCCAAAAACCTTACCTTATTAAGGTAAGGTACTGAAACCAAAACTAACTTGACAATTTTTCACACACCAAATCTTTGTAAAAACTCTTTTCTCAGGTCATAGATGAGATCAGACGTGTCCTCACAATAGTGGAAACATCAACCACTCCACCACGAGCTCACGAAGTGCTCCAGGAGTTGAGGGATATCTCCAGCATGGCCATCGAGCAATTTGACGACAAGATCGCCCCCGCCTTCCGCAAGCGGCTGCAGCAGGGAGTCGTGCAGCCTACCCCAAGACCCTCGCATGGTAAGACACCCTTCCATTACCTGGTCGTAGCAAGGGGAGCTTAACTTCAGAAGTGATTTAATCTTCTGTCATTTTCTCGATTTTCTCGAATCTCTAAGATCGTCATAGTCACCGTATTAAAGGGATCTCTAAGATCACTATAGACAGGCATATTAAATAAAAAATAACCTTGTTCAAGCTGTAAACTCTCTGAAGTTGTTTGATTACTTTCAAGCTATAAGCATGTTTCTCAATTTATGAGCTCCTGTCGTTGCTTGAAACTAGTTGAACAGCCTCAATCAATTACGTAATCTTACAGTGTATTTTAATAAATTACTTAACAATAATAGCTTCTGTTAGCGGCCTCGCCCGGGTCCCTGTGGGATAAAAAGTAGCCTATGTGTTATTCCATACCAATTACTATAAGTCCTCGATTGCCTCATTGGCCAAGTGGTCGCAAGTGCGACTGCCGGGCAAGGAGTCTCGGGTTCGATTCCCATCTCGGGAAAAGTATTACAGGGTTTTTAAAATTTTTAGTAGTAGCAGATAATCTCGAATTGTACCCGGTATATGACAATAGGCTCACCGCCTATTACATGAGACTCATAGCTTAAATAGTGAAAAGTGGGTGTTACATTGTACAATGGCATTAAGTGCGGTAATGTGCACCTCTGCCTACCCCTTCGGAAATAAAAGGCATGTTGTTATATTATAATCTACCCCTGTTCCTTCATCTCGATCCCTTCGTAGTAATAGTTTTTGCGTGAAAGCGTAACAAACTCACACACACAAACACACATCCTCAGAAACTTTCCCATTTATACTATTAGCAGGATAGCAGGATTGTATCAACGTTAAGATTGGTTTGTCCACAGCAGTGCTAGCTCCCCTAGCGATCCGTCAAGAAATGGTCCACCTCCGGCAGCGCTCCATACTGAACGCCAAGTTCTCGATATACCTCGCCGCACAATACAAGAAGTTCCACAAACAGGTAAGTTACTTGTATTAGACAATACAAATTATTCAGTTGGCTACTTTCCATAATCCAAAATTAATTTGTGATACCACGGCCTCATGAAAAACCGACGTGAAGCAACGCTATCGTTGTGTTTCGTCGTGTGAGTGAGGTTACCGGAGGCCCAATTACCCTCCCCTTCCCCAATCTCGCCAATCCCTGAATCCCCAACGATCCTCAAACTCCTAATCCCTGTTGATGATGATGATAGTTGTCAAGTACCCAATGGAATATCCCAATTGAACAATTCTTCATGTAATTCTCAAATCAAAATAAAAAATGGGTCGTGTATGTAAATAGGGTAGATGTCCTAATTTTTATTTTAATGTCCGTCTAGTAGATTATTTTCAATCATTACTTACACGCGTTTTTTTTATTTTATTAAAGAAACGAATACTTTCGACGATATATTGATTTGAAATGTCGCGTGACGTCACTTTTCTGCACATTTTATACGTAGAAATGACGTTTTAGCCCCCACTCCTAAACTTTGATTCGTTTTATCTAAGTACAATTTTATTATACAACAAAATAAAAAAATACGTGTCTAATATTTTTTCATTACCTAACTTACGGACTAATTAGATTTTTAATTTTCATACCCTGTCATCATCCCAATTCTTATGTTTGTAAAGGCACCCAGGACACAGGAGAAAATCCGGGTGTAGGGCAATGTTTTTTTTTAACTTTAAATGAACTAAAGCACATCTCGCTAGTTTAAAATGGAGTTTGCATAGTGATCTTTTTAAAAGTACCTACATAATGGTTTTACAGATGATGGAGTACAAGAAGATTGCGTGGCGACAGCAAAAGACTATCAGGGATCTCACCAAGAGGCAGCGGGAGCAGGACAATGCTATTGGTAAGTGATTCTTCTTCTTTAGACAGAAGAAAACGTCTTGGTTTATAGACTAAACACGCACAGACAGACAGATCATCTGATGGTAAGCAACCGCCTATGGATACCATCTACGAGCCCATTAACTGTTCTTGAGATAGTAGACAGTATATGAAAGTTAAAAATGTAAGTATGTAGTTAAGTGTGGGAGAGCCATGCTTCGGCAATGGGCCGGCTCGACCGGAGTGATACCACGGCCTCAAAGAAAACCGACGTGAAGCAACGCTTGCGTTGTGTTTCGTCGTGTGAGTGAGGTTACTGGAGGCCCAATTACCTTCCCCTTCCCCAATCTCCCCAATTCCTGAATCCCCAACGATCCTCAAACTCCTAATCCCCAAAAGGCCGATAACACACTTGTAACGCCTCTGGTGTTTCAGTTGTCCATGGGCGACGCCGATTGCTTACCATCAGAAGGTGATCTGTCTGCTCGTTTACCGGCTTATGCCATAAAAAGTCCGTTAGTTACATAATGAAAAAAAATTACACACGTATTTTTTATTTTGTCATATAAGAAAACAATAGTTAGATAAAACGGAGTTAAGTTTAGGAGTGGGAGGTCGTTACGTCACGCTACCTCATAAAATGTAGTAAATCGTGACGTCACACGATATTTAAAATCAATGTATCGCCGAAAGTATTTAATTTTGTAAGAAAAGAAAAAATACGTGTCTAATGTTTTAAAATAATCTATCAGACGGATATTCAAATATAGAATTAACCATTCAGACCCTTTTAAATAGCTTTTATCAGTTAATTTTTGGTCGGACATAACCTTTAAATAGTAATTTCATTTTGTGAATATCTCGAAATTGCCAATGTATTTTGTTTTAAATCTTTTAGGTTGAATTAACACGCCATCGATTATTTTAAAGATGATTTGATGAATACATAATAATGTTGAATTGAGTATATTTGTCCATAGTGCCGTGGGCATTTTCCTTTAGGACTATTCCTTACTATCAGGTAGTCCGTTCGGTCGTTCAACGCTCAATCACATAATAAAATATTATAATTTTCTTTAATTTTGTTGTATTCTATTACAGCTGATTTGAAGAAACGCATCGAGGAATGCGACATAAAGTACAGTGAACTCACACACACCAACCAGGCCGTCGGAGGGAAGGCTATAGCTGGTAAATATATATATACACACACACACACCCTGACACACACACACACACACACACACACACACACACACACACACACGTACAGCTTGGCAAACAAGAGTTTGACACAGGGACAACCGGAACTAATATAGGGTTGCCAACTTTAGAAGAAATGGAATATAATCAATTTTATAGGAAGCAAAAAATAGTACGGACTTACAAGAAAGAATACAATTAACTTCGTACTTTTAATCTCTCGCGTGTTTCTCGTACACACGGGTGTACGAGAGAGTCGAGTGCCCATCGCGCAATTGTACACACGGGTGTACGAGAAACGCGCACCGATTGGATAATTTTTCTGTGACGTATATTTTCAAGTTTGCAACCCGTTCTTTATTTGATTGAACAGAATAGTTAATTCGCTTTTCTATTAAAATATGTACCCGTGTGTACGAGAAGCGCGCGAGAGGTTAAAAAGGTATTTACAGTACGTAACAATTTTTCATGGTTTTAAAGGAACTAATTGTATGACGTCAAACATTCATCCCTAAATTTATATATACCAAGTGCTAATTCTTGATCAATTTCAATGAAACTCTGTTTCTCTTCTTTCGCCACTTGACATTCATGACCGAAAATGCTTGTTTAAAGTAAATGCTGAAGGCTGAAGTGTTTGGGGACTAGGTGATACCAACATATTAACAGTAAATAATAGACTTTTTTATTCTGACTGGCACTAGTTAAGTAAACATTGTGTGAAAAATAGTATTTAAGCGTACCCTATTAGTGTGATAGATTATAGAGTACGCCTACATGATATAGAGGTCAATACTATATTTTAGAGTACGGTTGGCAACCCTAACTAATATTGCCTTGGACTAAATCATCCACTTCGGACCACATCCCATGAACAAACAATCAGCTAAACATGGTACCTACTCATTTTAAACTGTCAAACACCGCGAGGACACCGGTGACCGCAACATATTGTTCTTTAATTGTGTCTATAATGACGGTACTCAACGAGTTAAACTTAACAAAAATAACAAATATCAAAACCGATTGAGTCATAGTGTACCAGGTTGCCACAGGTACGATACTAGTCGCGGAGAACCTAACGGGTAACCGGGGCTCCAGCTCGACGTGCAGGAGAAGGAACGGGGGGTTTTTAGTCAGTAAGAGTCTGACACTCCCTCCCGCCTCACCCAGGCGGGAGCAGTCATTCGATGATTTTCCCCCCTTATAAAAAAAAGGTACGATACTAGCGACCTCTATTATTCCAAACTTTTTTTTACGCCGTACGTACATAAATATATACATACTTTTAATACAGGGGGCCAGGACGTATAATTAGATTTTTAATTTTCATACCCCGTCACTACTTTATTTTGCAAAACATCAAACAAACGCGTGAATGAGAATATTTGGCGTAGTGGCTGGGCTATTGGCTACTTCATGACGTATAGAAGATTCAAATCCTGCACGGAATTTGTAAAATAAATACAGATAATTGGGTACTTTTCTTAAAAAAAAAATATTTCGGCTGTTCAATACAATAAAATATTACACTTTCATTAATTGATTTTATGATCAACTTAATTTTAGTATATTAACAGCAAATTTTTAACAAATAAGTATACTGTTTCGACGCTTAAAAAACGTGACGTCACAATACACAATCTCGTACAAAATTCATAGTAAACTGTCATTTTTGACAGTTCGAAAAAAGTAATGAATTTGACTAGTTGACAAGTACCCGATTGTAAATACATGCACGAATAATAACATTAAAAACAAAACTATTTAAGAAAAGTGTTTAACCTGGTACTCGAACGAATGTTCCAGCGAGTGCAAGCAGTGAAGCGTCGTCAGCTGCCCAGCCCCTGCGTCACTTCTCCAGTCAGATCAAGCTGGATCTCTCCGTACTACCCATTGGTACTTCGAAGAGAAATAATAAATGTAAGATAACCTTTCATCATCATTATCATCAACAGTAGTGTCCGACCGTAGGTGTATTTTTGGCCGAAGCCGAAGCCGAAGCCGAAGGTTTATATTTTCTCAGCACTCAGTCAATTATTTTGTTCAATATTGTCTACAAGCTACAATTAATATTAAAATTATTTCAAAACCTCAATATTGAAGGTTTATATTGACTGTCTTATAAAGAAGTTTATAATATATCAAAGAGATGGTTGGTTTAGAGATTAATAAAAGTTTGTGATTTACCTACTGGTAAAAGGAATCATTTCTTTATTATGAATAATTTCACAAATTACAATTAGTTCAATCGTTCGTCTAATCTCGGCAGCTCGGACCTTCGGCGAAACCTTCGGCTTCGGCCGGGCTTTGGGCCAAAGCCGAATGTTTTGCCGAAGGTGGACTTTTTGGCCGAAGGTGGCCGAAGCCGAAGCCGAAGCCGAAGCTTCGGTCGGACACTAATCAACAGCCATTACTGGACTATGGGTCTATTACACCGTGAAATCTATTTCGTTTGCATCCCGCGGCAAAACAAATTCAAATTCATTTATTCATTGCAGATCACAGGTAGATACATAATACTGTTGTTATCATAATTTGGTTGAGCTCAGCTGTGTCCTGCCCATTTAGTTGGGTACAATATTAAATACAACTTGCTATAATAAGGAGTACTTTCGATGTATAAAGTAAAAAATGAAGATGTCATTTGTTTTTAGTTAAAAAATATTGATGAAGATACGCACATGAAACAGTAGACGTAAATTTGTAGGCAGTATTCGCAACGCACGTGCCGCCCGACGAGAAACACCATGTTTTGATAATCACTACATAGTATAAAACAATGTCGCTATCCGCCGTCTGTCTGTCCCTATGTATGCTTAGATTTTTAAAACGACGCAACAGATTTTGAAGCGGTTTTTTTAGTAGATAGAGTGATTCTTAAGGAATGTTTATCTGTACAACACATGCATATTGCACCCGTACGAAGCCGGGGCGGGTCGCTAGTGTACTATAAGTTCGTATGCGCTTTCGAAGTTCGCTTTTTGCAATGGTACACCAGTTATTTACTGTATAAATAATTGATTTGTTTCTAAAACTGTTGTATTACCAAGACAGAACCATTTTACTTCGGGACGAAAACGAAGTAGATTTCACGGTGTTTATTATGAGTTTGCTATAATCTCCACCATTAGGGTTGGAGATTCGCATAGTTTATAAGGTTCAGGTTAATCATAGAGTGGTGTAGACCAGTCTCTGTCACATGTGTAGTCCCTTATTCGGGTCTTATGGTGTCATGAGAAGAGTAGTGGATATATATTAACCCATGGTTTTGTCTAGTTTTTGAACTTCAGTGATATCAAGGGTTTCATTCTCCGGTTATGCGTTTTGTAATGACGTAAGATATGAATTAGTTATGTTATTAGTTTCACTGTAATAAAGATTTTCTGTATTAAATATAAAACAAAATCATTAAACGAAGTCTATAATTAGTCGAAAAACAAAATAATCCTTTTCTCAACCAATTATATTTTACTAATGTGGGGACATTAGGATTTTCTCCTGTGTCGTGGGTGCGTTAACAAACATACAAGTTCACATACACATGACACACAGACCCAAAACAACAACAAAGAGTGGAATCGAACCCGCTACACGTTGCACGGCAGCCGGTTACCTAGCCACCGCACCAACCGTGCAGTCATCAGACCTAAAAATAGTCAAAAACTAATAAAAAATCTGTATTTTTCAGTACTACCAAACATGAAGCCGCGGAAACCGCTGATCAAGCTACCAAGTCTTTCAGAAGATGATTCAGAACCGCCCCCAAAACTGCCGAAAATGGACGAAAGTCGTTTCAACCCCACACCGTCGACGTCCATGGACAAACAAAGTCCGAAAACAAAATCTCAAACCACTATCGCCAAAATAAGGGGCATCGCCAACGAAATAAGATATCTCACAAATCTCCCAAAGGCTTATGAAGCCAAACTAAAACGCCCCCTAACGCTAACCAGCGAACTAAACGTACCTGAGACCAAAAAGCAGAAACTAGATTAAGGTACTCGATTTTTAACTTTATCCCGTTTGTATAGAGGCGAAAGTTGATTCGTAAGGTATGCTATGCGATTTTGAGCTTCATTGCTATGAGATCTGCGGTCGAGAGTTGCTTGTATGTGTATTGACTTAGTTGCGAGGTTTTGCTACTAGATGGCGGTGGTGTGCCGTTAAGTCTTGTAGGGCTAAATGTTTGTGGTCGAAAAGTTGTGTGTCTAAGTTAAATAATAGACCGATGCCTTATAAAATATCCTTTACTTCCAGTAGTTAAAATGCCTTCTAAATAGTGATCTTTGCTGACATCAAAATTATTTCCCAAAGTATTTTGAAATTCTCATTATTATTGAAGTTTGAAATTACTGATGTATAGTAACATTCAAACCTTCAAGAAAAGAGCGTATACCTTTTTAAAAGGCCGGCAACGCACCTGTGACTTCTCTGGTGTTGCGGGTGTCCATGGGCGGCGCTGATCGCTAACCATCAGGTGATCCGTCGGCTCGTTATACTCCTATTCCATAAAAAAAAATTACGCTTGCTCCTTATTACTTGATAGGACTAGTGACATTTAGCGCTTATTACGAAACACCATACAATTCCTAACTTCGGACAATGTCTGACAATTTTGAAATTCTTAAAGCTTTTTGAAAATTGATCCTTTATCATAGCCGGGAATCGAAACAATGCCTTATTCAGAGACACTTCTATCATTGGTAAATATATTACAACTTGTATTTGAAATTATTCTTTGGAAATAGCAAATATATTTGCTAAACCTAATTTTATTATTTATAATTCACATAAAAATACTTCCTGATCAATCCCCAAGTGGTCACCGGTGACCGCTTTCCACTAACTCCATTATGTACCTTATTTCCGATGTTTAGAGACTACTTTGGTATGAAAAAATTTTGGGGACTTATATCAGCTGATTGTGTAAAAGTTAGACGATATTGTGTCTAATTTAAACTAGCATTTTGTTCTTAATTAACAAGGAAACCGTGGAATTATTGCAACAAAAATATTATTATTACCATTTACAAGTACGCCCGTTCGTTTTCGAACTAATCCGTCTAATTTCGAGTTCAATCGGAGCTTATAAATATCTGAAGATGATTACAATTTCAATGATTCTACGGTATGAAACAAACTGACATTATTAGTGCATAATTTTGTTGAAATTAACGCTAAAAATGAAAGTACAAGTTAATAATAAACAATTTGTTATATTCTTATTATTATTATGTGTTAATATTTAATTTATGTACGTTTAGATATATCATCTATTCATAGGTAAGGTATATCTGAACCAGAAAGTGTGTGTCTATTTGTTCGTCTTTCACGACAAAACAGAGCGGTGATTTGACCTTATTTTTTAAATGTAGTTAGTTGAAGGGATGGAAAGTGACATAGGCTACTTTTTGTACCCCCCTACTTCCCTAAAATGGGGGGTGGAAGTTGGTATGGATCTTTCCGGAATAGGCTAGTTGACAGGGAATGAAAATTAAAAACTAATTAGTCCGTCAGTTAGATAATGAAAAAATATTAGACACGTATTTTTTTTATTTTCTCGTATAAAGTTACAATACTTTGATAAAATGGAGTTAAGTTTAGGAGTGGAGGGTCGTTACGTCACTAAGTGCTACAAAATGGCGCGCATTGTGACGTCACACGATATTTCAGATTAATATATTGATGAAAGTATTTAATTTTGTGAGAAAAGAAAAAATACGTATCTAAAGTTTTAAATTAATCTACTAGACGGACGTTAAAATAAAATTTAGGCAACTACCCTATTCTAAAGGTAGAATGCTATAACAGTTATCCGGACTATTTGTAATTAACAAAAAATCTTGCTAGCTCTTAAAACAGCGCATGCGTAGCCGCGTGTAGCTAGTAACTACATAATATATTAGCGGAGTGAAAGAGAAAGAATTAATACATAAACAAAATAAAAACGTATACGATTTCGTATAAAACATTTTTGAAGACATGTTGTCTCATTCTTATTTGAATTGCCACTTTTCACTTATATCCAGTCTTTATTTCTCCCAGTGTTTTCCCAGTAAAAGCTACCGTTTTTGCTCAACAGATGGCGGTAAAGTAGGGTTTGGTCCTGTGTGTCCAATAGAGAAGTTTTTAGCAATTAGCAAAGCTGTAGACGTTAAGTCAAAGTCAAAATCATTTATTTCAATTAGACCAAGAAGTATCTTTTGAATGTACAACAAAATATAAACTGTCAGTCTGTCAGTCAGTCCTCTAGTGAAGCTATTTGCTCATTCCAAGGTGTAGATTCCTATGGAGAAGAACGAGCAAGAAACTGCATAGGTTACTCTTTTTCAATCAGGTTCACAATACATTCCTACATTGTTAAATTAAATTTTTAACAGCATCAGTATTGAGACAAACAGTCTTTACGTGTCGTTAGCGCCACCTGTTGACCAAAAATGTAACCTCACAGTAGTTTTGAGGTCAGCACTAAGTTATAAGTAGATTTAACTGATAAAGAAACTGCCAATATGCCTTTCTATATGGGAATAATAAAAATATAAAGAGCAATAATTATCTACTTAGATAAATTGATGTATGAAAAAGTGATTTTTTTATTTAAAAGTTTATTATATAGGAAAGGGAGTAGTTTTGTGTATGGTATTAAAACATGCTATAACAAATATTGTATTTAATAATGTCATAATATACACCGTGAAATCCACGTCGTTTTCGTCCTAAAGTAAAATGGTTCTGTCTCGATAATACAAAGAAATAAAATGTTTAAAACAAAAAATAACTGGTGAGCAAAAAGCAAATTTCGAAAGCGCATACGAACTCATAGTACATTATCAAAACATCACGCCCTGTCATTCTCGAAGAGGTATCTCTCGTCGGGTGGCACGGGCGATGCAAATAGTGCCTGCTTTACGTCTAGCTTCATATGGGTATTTCCATAAATTTGTTTATGAATTTAAAAAAAATATGACATCTTTTATATTTTTTTGTTTTTACTTTATCCATCAAAAGTAGTCCTTATGGCAAGTTCATTTGCCGCGGGACGGAAATGAAATAGATTTCACGGCGTATAATCGCTTATAATATGTGTGGGCTTTCAATAGTAGGGTATTTATATCTTAAAAAATAACGGCTTGTTTCATAATTCAAAAATAATGTTTATGAGATTAAAATCTTACTATCTAAGTATCTATTATCTAAAAAGAGAAATGCGTTGATCTCAAGAACTTTATTTATGTAAGAAATTATATCGTCATGGGTTTTATTTCATCAGGAGTATGAACCGAAATGTATCGACGCTAGAAAAAGGGTGCCCCCTAAACGACTTCAATCAATATAATATCGAAAGAAGACTCCGTTCGGCGATCGCATTGGCCAGCTGAAACGTACCAACCAATCAGCGCCGAACGCGGTCTTGTTTCGAACTCGTACTAAGACCTTGCCAAGCACGAATAAAGATGGGCAACGCACCGGTGTCTCCTCTGGTGTTGCGGGTGTCCATGGGCGACGGTTATCGCTTACCACCAGGTGATACGGATGCTCGTTTGCCTTCTATTCTATAAAAAACATAACTTTCGCATACGTATGGGCCTTTAGGTCTTCTTTGTGCCTTTAGGCTTAATTCATTCTGTCTCCTGCAGAAATTCACCGAGGGAAGTGGAAACTATAGTTTTTTCTTCTCCTCTTATAATATCTTCTGATTCATTTCGTTGCGGGAACCAAGACAGTTACTCATGTCCCTGGGACGCGCCGGACTTCAGTGTTCCGGTGTTTTCATGGTTGTATCTACTGTAGATCCTGGCTTACAGGAGTTGCAGCGGTTTTGGGAGGTTGTGGCGGGCTTGTCCCATTAAAAAAAAAAAAAAAAAATACGTATGGGCCGAAACACATAATCCGACCGCAAAGCAGCGCTCGTTCCAGCATAGCAGAGTAATGTCTATAGTATACGAATAAGCAATAAGTTTTTTACGATGGTCCATGGCAGAGACACAATAAAAAAACACGACGAACTGGTTACCCTACCGAACGACAATAAAACGCTCTTTTTCACGACGCCGCAACGCATAGCAACGCAAACTGCCGATATTAGCGTTGCGGCGACGCAATGCGGTTATGTGTTTCGGTCCTAATAATATCGACCGCGTTCGGCGCTCTGATTGGCCGGCTCCAGTGAACCAACCAATCAGCGCCGAACGCGGTTATTCGTGCTTGGCACTCAGGATCCAAAATCTGTGGATCGATCTTGGTTTTTGACAAAATCTTCATACAATACAACTGATGTCAAAATCCATACCTTTATATTGAAATCGGTTTTTTATTTCAACCGTAAACGATAGCAAATTTTTAAATAAGAAACGACTCATTTCATTCTTTGGTAATAAATAACGGTTCTTTTTGATAAAATTAAAAAAGTACATTCTTAATCTTGTTTGTGGAATTAGCCATCTTATATTTCTATAATATGTATTTATCTTCATGCTTAAAATAGCACTGTGTTAAATCGAATATTAAATATAACATAAACACCACTAAATAGTCCGCTTGTATTCACTTTTAATATTAGTTTTATTCATAAATTAATAATATACCTAAAATAGTTATACCATATTTTGTCTACATACATTCAACCAAGTCATTTAGTACGAAGGTAAGAAAATAGAGATTGATTCAGTATAGAGACAGTAACCATTGGCTGTCTAGAGCCGCCTGAAAAACAAAAGACATGGCTTCGTTACAAAGTATATAATTAGTATAAAAATAGCTACTAAATTAACTGAAAATCGCGGGTTTCACACGTGAATATACTGAGAAAAGCTCTACTAGTTTCGAGCCACGGAGGGGTTCTTCCTCATGAGCAGCGTAAGCGGTCGCGGCGATGTCGCGCAGCCGCAGCGTACGTCAGTTACTTATATTCATCTATACAGCCTACTGGCTAGCGTCGACGCTTGCGTTGGTGTTGATTACTTGCGCTGCGAGCCCACCGCGCCCTCTGCCGGAAA